AATTTGCTGGGCAACTGCAATTAGAGAATTGACTAATGTGTGTCTTGGTGCTTGTTCAGAATATTAAAAGAAAAAGTTAGCACAATAGAGATTGGCTAAAAGAAACATTCATGCTCTCCCATCCTATCGTCTCAGAGTTATCTGAGCTATGCTAATCTGGTTGCTTACCTTTTTGTTAATGCATCTGCTTCTGAGACGCTCCTGTAACACAACAACAGGTTTGGCTTCAGAGAATTTGGGGCTTTCTGAGTTTTGCAGTACAACATTTTGTCTATCTGGTGTGGTGCTTTCGCATCACTTTCCTCTTACAAAAATAGGCAAAGCACCAGCCGTTTTAAAATGGTACTTGAAGCTCTACGGAAAAGGTTTTATAGACTGCCACCTGCCCTGTCTGTGCCTTGGTATGCAGTCTGACCTGCAGTGATGCAAGGCTCCGTGTAGGCAGACCCCGCTCCCAGCACCTATGCCATGTCCTGCAGGAGGAATTGCTGTCCAGATACTGAGAAATGCTGCTTCCTTCCTGGGGTGCAGCCTGGAACAGAAGGGTTTGGTTAGAGTCAGAAGATGAAGCTTGTATCAGTATAAAACACCATGGAGATGCATCCCTTGTAGTTTGGTATTCATTGTCTTTGTTCCCGCCAGGCTCGCCCAAAGCTCTTTTTTTTTTTTTTTTTTTTTAATCATTATAGCTTTCTAATTCTTCTTTCTTTCACTTAGTATAGGATTGTGTATTTTAGTCTGTATTTGACCAACTTTGGCTAACATTACCGTAACATTGCTGAGAACAGCCTGTGCTTCCCCGCTCTTCTCCTGCTGCTACAGGGGACTTGGGCTTCAGAGGAGACAAGAAGTCTTCTATTACCCACCAAAGAGTGCTTCTCAAGAGAGCCCAGTGTGCCTGCAGAGCTCTGCAAAACCCTCTGGTGGTAGACCTGTCACCCCATGGATGTCCCTGAAAGACCCTGAGCAAAATCTGTCCCCTTTACTTCAGTGTTTTGCACAGAAGTGACTCTTGCAACATCACTATGTGCTATTTTCATCTCACTTGAAACAGCAGTGGCTTATCACAACTGGGAATGCACACATTTGCTTGGGAAGGGATTCTGAAGGTGAGCAGTTTCTTCTAGAAGCGTTCATTGCAAGAAGGGCAAAGGTGGTTGTTTAGGGACCTTTGGGTAATATGGAAGCCCTGTCCCAGGAACCGTGGAGAAGGTAGCAGAAGTGTTTTTGAGAGGATGTGGATCAGTCAGTCTCCACCAGGGAAATTTGGGCAAAACACCTCTCACAGAAAATCGTGTAAGGCAGATGATGTGGGGCTCTGTTTTTTTTTTTTTTCTTTTCAGAGCTTGCAGAAGTAGAATTGTTGTACGGAAAGTATCACGGACTTCAAGCTAGTCTGTGTTTGAATATCTCTATCTGAGTAAGGGTGTCAGCTCAAGTTCTCCAGCTTTTTCTGACTGGGGAAAAAACAAGGGGAAATCACTAGTTTTTACAGATGGATAGCTGGCAAATAGAGATATTTTTTCCCTTTGCTTTGAGCAGAATCTTGGAGTGTTCTCGAGGTGCAGGAGAGCATTACTTCCCCTGTATAATCCAAACTTTCAATAGCATGTCAGATGTTTGTGAAGATGCACAGTTGGGACTTGCATGTGCATGTGAATATGAACACACTCCAAGGCACAGAAGTCCCTTAGAAACAAGTATCGACTGTTACGTTTGTTTCCCACCTGAATTCTAAATCAATACAATTTAATATTGAAATATGTATGTTCTTCTTCCCTGAAAGTAGCTTTCCAACTCAGCCAAAATACTATGGAGAAAAGTTTAAATAAAGTATCTCTTGCTTACTGAGGCCCTCACCTGGAGATCTGAACCTGGTTGAAAAGTGCTTTACGTAAGAACACATGAAATAACTAGCTGAAACCAAACCCATCCATGATCCCAATATCTTGTCACCATTGGAGACCACTAGCAGATGCTATGAGAAGATTTGAAGAACCAGGCAAGTGCACAGATGTGCCTCCATCGTGCTCTCCAGCCTCCATTAATTTGTGGCATGCAGAATCTCTGAACTAGAGGTGGTATCAGCAGCCCTTAATTTATTTATCTTCCATTTATTGGTACTGTTGATCTTGAACCTGCATAATGTTTAGCATCCGGAACATCCTCCGGCAAGGTTATCCATAATTTAAGTATTGTGCTTCAAAGTGGGTAGCTATACGGTTTGGTTTGTAGTGGAGCTGCAGGATGGTGGCAGCAGAGAAGGGCAGGCAGCCACCAGAGGCAGTTTTCCAAATCTCCACGGTGGTGGTTAGATAATATCAGAAACTAAGTGGCATTGGGGTGATCACTGCTTATTGCCCTTCAGAAATTACACAGCAAGAGGTGTGAACACAGAACAGTCCTGGAATCCTGGTTGTGTAGACATAGTAATTTTATACTGAAATAATATTCATCTATAAGTCAGGTGAACAACGAATACATTGGCCATGGTTAGTGATTTAACACTGCAGTCTGTTGTTTGTCATACCCAATGTGTCCACAAAACATGGATACGTTTTTTCAGTACGGGAGGCGTGTGAACGCCTGCCGCGGCAGAGCGCGGGAAGGCTGTGTTGAGCGCTTTCGTGCCAGGCTGGGGCTTGCTGTGTGGTACTGTGGGCTGCGTACCAGGAGCCGAGGCTGCTGAAGTAGGCTGGGTTTCCAGGCCAGTTTCAGAATTCATTGCAGCTCCCCACATACCTGTTTTAACCTTAAGTCAAAGATTGATTATTTTTAAAGGTTAGCAGTTATGTAGCAAAAGAAACCTCCTTTGCCAGCTTTGAGCAGTCACCATGGTCTGCGACTTCACACAGTTTTAATATAGACAACAACAAACAGCCATTTCAGGATATGCCTCCTTATTACTGTTCACTTCGGTTTCTTTGAACAGGGAAAATGAAAATAAAAATAAAAACTACAAGTCAAATCCCAGCTTTACTGGTCTCCTCCTGGAGTCAGCTCTCACCTGGGTTGTGCAGAAACAGGATAGCAAGGGAGAACAGCAGCCAAATCATGTCACTAAAAGCACTTCTTGCAGGTTAAACAAGGAGACCTTGAGGAACAGGGGCTGCCCTCCCTTGCCTTCTAGCTGTTGCCTGCTGTATCTCCTGCTGATGCTAGGTCGAATGAGCAAGACATTGCTTTTTTAGAAAAACAGCTCACACCTCAGACAGACAATTGATTTACCACCACTTGGCTCGTCCTGGTGCATCCTCTTGTGAAGTGTAAGCACTCGCAGTCCATGGAAAGTACAGGATGATGTATGCTGTTTCCTATAACTCCCTCTCGTTGCTAGCTCAGCTGTGGTACCTATACACCGCATAGGTGTGTACAGTGGGGGAGAACAGGCACATGGAGGCAAAGGATGTGTGTGACAGTGTGTACGCTGTACCTGTTCCTGGCTTTTAAATCTTTCTCCATAATATTGTAGCATTATTACAAGATAGATTTATAACGCACCTAGAGCTAATGTAACAACGGAGATTAGTCCTCTAGTAGTCGAACAGTAATACGCTTCAATTTGCCTACAGCTACTGTATTGTATTGGCATGAAAGGAAATAGCTTTCTAATGCAGCTTCATCTGCTGAGCAGGAAGAAATCTGTGCTGCAGAATGTAAAACTACATAGGACTATAGCTGGCAGCAAAATTCAGAGTAGGAGAAACACAGCACAAATAAAAGTATTTGTGAGTTGGATGTATGCTAACAATCCTAGTTTATTGCTAAACATGCCATATACAGTAATGCAGTTTGCCTGGCAGGTTCAGTATTGCTTCATCTTTGTTTTTCACTACTTCATCTTCTGTACTAAAATTTGTCCAGGAATAAAAGGTGTAAATTCATTAGTTTCCGACTTTGTAGCGTTAAAAAAACGCTGATATTATAATTTTCTTCAGAAATACTGATGCTGTTAATGCAATCTGTGCTGTGCTCTGTACCTAGAGACACACTGGGAGTCTCAATACTTAAGCCATTAATGCAAATGTTTCTGCTGTTTGTTGTAAATGTAGTCTTGCCTTGATGAGTGGCAGGCATTCTTTGAGTGAGCATGTGTACAAATAGTCACCCAAGTGCTGGCACATTATATTTACCATTAAATAGAGCTCCCTTCTTCTGGAAAGCAGCAAAGCCATCAGCTTCTCTCTTCTTCTGGAGAGGCAAAGGATGTGTTTGAAATTGTCATGTCTGAGACAATAATAATACTTACTGCATATGGGATAGAACTTTTTTTTTGTGGGCATATTATGCAAGCGAGATGCAAAAATTAACTGTTTCACATACTTGATATTTTTTCCCCACTAAATCACTAATGAAATATAGTTGTGTTTAAAAGAACACGTTTTGTTTCTAGACTAGGGATGTGTCTCACTTTCAACAAGGGCAAGGAAGGATCAACAACTTGCATGCAGGGAGGGAGTCTCTCTCTTCTGAAAACTACCAGTATAAACTGCCGATGGGAAACAGCTGCAATAGGGCCTTGTTATCACAATAGGTCTTTGATGGGAAAGGTGGCCCCATGGGCAGAGGAGAAGCCAGAGAGAAAATTTTACATGAATTACTGACAAGGTTTCCAGGCAGCTTCTGCCAAGCTCACTCCACAGATGTAATGGGCACTTCAAAATACCTGAGTGTGTTTGTTATCCTGTTACCTACCAGCTTTGCATCAAAGACTTGCAACGTATCTGACCATCAACTCAGAAAGGTGAACTCTGTCACTGCCTATCAATCACCCTGGCACCTTGTGTTATCATCATAAATCCATCAGAGACAGTTAACTACTGTCACCACTCTAAACCAGTAACCTTCACCCTTCATCTGTTCATCACCAGGTCCCTCCATCCCACGGACACATGGAATAGTTAGATTAGTTACATACAGGCATACCCTGAATTTTACAATAAAACTGGGGAAAAAAAATCAACAAACTGTTTTTTTTTCTTCTTCCTCCCTCAAAAAAGTTGCAACGACATGACAAAGAGGATTCCTCTGACAAGTGGAGGACAGAAGAAGAAATGGCAGCTGAAGCAGCAATTCTGAAGAAGTATTTTGGGGAAAATTAAAGGTAATGATTTACATATTAACTTACTTCTGCAACACCCAAAACTGTTTGGTCCTTTATAGGCTTCTTAAGGACAGAGGGAGAATATGTAGAACAGAACAAAAGAAATGAATGCTCTTAGGTTTGTGTTGTTTCCAAAAGGACACAGTACTCCAAGAGTGGCTGAAATAACATGCTCCTCCTTCAACAAATCAGCACCATCCTGGAGTATTTACAAAATAGAGACAGCAAAAAATAACATATCTGGAAATCAGAATCATCAGCAGTTACTTCAGAGGAATGTCTAACCTAACATATCCTCCCTGTGTTTTTAAGAACAGAAAATAGCCTTGGTACCTCTATGATGAGTTAAAAACTGCTGTGTCTATGTACATCCAGATACGCGTATGCACATATACATACAAAATCCCAGCAGAATTCAGAGTGGATAAGCAAATGCTAACTTTATCTGGCAGATCTTAAATCATCTGATCAGTTCAACTTTCAAAATTAAGCCTGCTGGAAAACTGCCTGTTCCGCTAAATCTTCCACTGGCCCTAAAAGAAAAAAAAAAGATTTGCAGGGAGGAATAGAAAAGAAAAAACACTTGGCGAACACTAACAGTGGTGCTCTAGAAATTGAGAGTTTTTCATTTTGTACCTGGAGTCCCAGAAGCCAGATTCTTCACTAGAAATGAACTGGCCCCCGGAGATCTGTATGAGTTACGCTGGGATGTACGCTGCAGCAATGATGCCAAAAGCTCCCTCTCCCCTGTTCCCCATATGTTGTTTGCCATCATCCAGCACTCTCATTTCTCTGTCATTTCTGACTGTTTCGTATTTTTTCCTCTGAAGAACTGAAATCCCATAAATATCCCTCCTCTCTGCCTGTGACTCACTGCTTGCAGCCCACCTTGAGAAATCTTGAGCTAAACTGCACAGTGTGCTCGTGGCATACTTATATGACAGCTCTTGTCGCCTATGCCATTCTGTCATCTCCATTTTGGGCTGGTTCATTGGACTCTCTCTGTTTTTTCTTGCATGATGACCATGCCAACACTTCCGTGGACTGGCACAGAGAAAACTGTGTAACACACGTAATTCCCATCTGTGAAGGAAACTTGTCCTCGGCATCTGGGACCTAGGGACCTCCGGGGTTTGGAGCAGCAGGGTTTGGACTACACAGTCAAGTTTCCACAGTGGCTGCTGAATTTGTATTTAGACACTCACTTTTCACCTTCTCAGAAATATGCTTCTCAAAAATGAATTACTCAGCCAGAAAGAGCATATCCTTAGGTAATGCATATGTAAGCACTCTTCTCTACTAACAGAGACATTATGTAGTACTTCATCTATGGCACAGCAGCAAATGAACAGTATTTAGGATAAAATGGTGCATCCCTATTCCAATGTGATGCTGTTCCCCGTTATATATTTGGTAGGTTTTGGGGGGTTTTTTTTGGTCTAGATAGAAATGAATTTGAAATTTATTTTCTGCAGAGATTCTCAAAGAGGTTGGAATTAAATCCCCACATATCAATAAAATGTTCTTAGGCTCTTCTGATACTAAACACAAAGCTGGATAGATGGTACGAATTCATTCCTGCAAGCAAATTCATGTGGCTGGACTTCTATTTCCATTTATTATGAAAATAAATCAGTGTGTGTCTGCATGGATGACCTCTTGATAAGTTCCCCATGATATTAAGGTCATTACCTTTCCTAGAACAGACTGGTAAATCAAATCTTACTGGCATCATTATCATGAAAGTATTTTGCCTAGAATAGGCAGTCCTTCCAACCCTTGATTCCCAACACAAGGCATCACTGTCAATCTCTTCTCCCTGACATTGTTTTTCTTCTAAGGTTTAAGGCTCTGAACCTGAGATAAAGGTATATCTGAGCACCTTCTGAATTTCTCAACCTTCATCTATTCTCTCAACCTTGCTTCTAAAGTGATGAAGATTGAAAACTTTTGGCAAATTAACAAGGTTATATGCATCCTTCTTCAAAGCTATTTTTGTTTTTCACCTACAAAGGATTTATTTTGCCATTTATAAGTTTACCTGGATGCTATTTGACTTGAGTCTTTTCATGTGGCACAGGGAAAGTCAGAAAGAGCTGAATGTGGGTGTTCTGGAGCCAATAAATGGCAATTTTTAAGGCCTCATGCATTATTTTTCTACTTAAGTGTTTTGTTCAAAGCAGCCCAGCTCAGCTAGATTAGCCCAGACAGACTGAGCTGTGTTTCAGAGCTTTCCCAGCTACCCTTACATTTATCACAAGTCCTTCACCAACTGTCACAACTCCTGTATGATTGACTAGGTACAGTAGCACCTTTTACCTGCATTTATAGACTATCTGATCAAGAAGGACTTGCAGGTGACTTTTTCCTAAGAAATACTTGAACAAGGCAAGAAGGTTTTGATTTTCTCCCTACTATATTTGCTGATGCTGATCCCTCTTGGCTGGTTGGGTAGCCACAGCTGAGCGCTTCTACACCAGTCCCCAGATGATCAGAAATATCCAGCCACTTGCTTAAAGAAATGAACCCTATTTAGCCTTGCTAAGTTTATACCATTAAGAAAATACTTGTCTTAAAATAATTCATTCGTGTGTACAATTGCCTAGAGCAGATGAAACCGAAATCAGTGAGTGAATTTGTGTTTTGCACGTGTTTCTGGTCTTTCGCTGCATGTCCCCACGCCACTGTGTCCCATCTCATTAGAAGGACTCGTCACTTCTTGAACACCCCCAGCGCGTGTGGGCTCTGCAGGGCTGCTCACGGTGCTGTGTCTGCAGAGCCGAAGTTCAGCAGAACTTCATGTGGCTCTGGAGGAGGACAAGAAAAGGAAAAAAAAAACTTTCTGTGGAAAGGATATTAAATGTATAATCGCCCCAGTTAGTCACACCTGCTTAGTAGCACCAAGATTTGACCTCTTTAGGAGCCATTCTTTGTTCAGTGTTGGCTGTCATAGGGTCAGCTGTGTTTGATAACTGGTCATTCTTTGAGGTGGATCCACGAGGAGAGAGTCCTTACTCAAAGAGCAAGATTCAATGCAGCATCTTAATTTCCAATTTCCCATTTTCAGACGCACCTTTTAAGTTTTCTAACTAGCTATAGCTGGGTAAGTGTTTTGATAGTCTGTTTTGTGCATTTTAAATTACACATGCCAGCAAAAAGGCTAAAGATTAAAAGAGTTACTAACCTTCAGATAGTATATGAAAAATGTTTCTCTTCAAAGGCAGTTTCACTCTGTGGTGTTGTTTCTGAAGAAAGAACCAGGCTGCACAAGTTTCAGTAGAAGTTTTCCTATTTTATGCACAACTGAAGTAATACTTTTATGCCATTAGAAAAGTAGTCAGTCTTAAGTACAATGTCAAAATGTCCCTTTGCATAAAGGCGTTGACAGTGATATTCTGTTGCCTAGTGCTTTTTGAGTTACAAATATTCAATAGCTTTTAATTGCTTAACCGTCTGAATATTTTGTGTCATTCAACATGCAAAATTCATTTAAAAATCTCTCCAAATAATGCAGGCTGCACAGTGGTGCAGGATTTCTGATGTCAGTTCTCCCCTTCATCCCCAGTCTGGCAATGTTTCTGGAGAATATAGTCTTTTCAACTTTGTCAGAGAATATGAATTTTATTCTTTTTTTTCGCCCCACTGTGAAAGAGAGACAATCTCATTCTTTGAGAGCACTCATCCTGCCTCACAGCTGCCTCTTCTGCACCAAGATCGCAGCATCTGTGAAAAGATGCTGTTCTGTTGACTTTAGCAGGGAAATTACCACTGTTAGCAGCAGCTGACCAGAGGGAATTTAAGCTGGCAATTTGGCTTGCATCTGGTTTTGCTCCAGCACCTCTGACAATCCATGCTGCATGCGTGAGAGTGAGCACCAGAGCAATCCCATCGCTTTTGTTAAATTTAGGCAAGTATGATAAGATGGCTTACAACACCCTTCTTTTGGTGGCTTTACTGTAAGAAAAGCTCTCCTATTATTTCTAGTACTTTAAACATAATAAAAACACAAAATAATGACTATGCTTTGGAGTGGATCCACAGAGTGGATCTAGGACACATGCCATGCAGTGAGGACGCAGTCAGTCTGCCCCAGAAAATGCTGTACCTGCAGCGTGGACCACAGAGCAGGTTGTCTCCTGGGTGGGTGCCACAGTGACAACAGAGACATGGCCAGAGATATCTTCCGCAATAGATGCGCTTCCATTGTAGGCAGCCTGTTGGCAAGCATGCAGTCATAGAAAATACAACGTGCTGTGGACTCTGGTATGGGGAACGGGAGCAGGGCAGAGGGGTAGAGCAGGCAGGGACCCCTCAGTTGTGGGAGCCTCGCTTTATAAGCAGGGCAATTTTTTGAGTGCTTACACTGGAGTTAGACTCAAGGTGGTGCCTGGTCTTGGGGACTTTCCAGAGAGCATTGGCGAGAACTGTTCATGGCTGCACTTAGGAGCTGTTGGCATATAATCCCCAAGTAAATACACATCCTAGTAACCAGCTATAGATTTCCCTGCACTCCAGACTTAAGTGCTATTAATTATATCCCCCACTCAGAAGCCTCCAAGAACCATTAATTAGAAAGCAGGAGCTGACGGTTTGCTTGTCTGTGTGAAACTATTATGACCTGAGAGTGAAATACAAGCTTCAAAAGAAACATGTTTTATGAAGGTCACCTTGGAAAACATCATAGCAATCTGTCACGAGAAGAGAATGCAGCACTCCAAGTGTGCGTTTCAGTGCGGCATTATGCTTTAAGTAGTTGGAAATACCAAAGAGAAGATGGATCAGATTATAGGGCCTATGCTTTTTCACCCAAAATTTTCTTTTTTTTCTGCAGTAAGTACATGTAAAGTAATCTTGTTGTCATTTCAATGGAATGCAAGGAAAGTTAATATCGATAGAAATCCAACGGACAAACATAATCTGGCTCTTACTGGTATTTTTGAAGTGTAAAACATCCAGAGCCACCACCTCTGCAGCAGGGACAAGGTTTATGCACAGGAGTTAAATTATCTCTCCAAGGGAAGATGTAAACAGCTAGTAGTGCAGTGACAGTGCACAGCAGTAATACCCACCCTGGAAGGCTCAGGGCAAAAGGCTTCCCCAAATAAATGTGGTGTGCTAATGCACAGCAGTCTCAGCATCAAGGCTGATTGTTTTTTCTGGTGGAAGCATATCGTTATTCTTATGAAAAGAAAGCTGCAATAGAGTTATCTATGGTTATAAGTGAAATGTCTTCCTCTTGCAGGACGCCAGCATAAGCGTAACGTCCTCCTCACACCTATTCCAGGGTTCTGTTTTGAGGCTGTGAGTAGTACTGTGCTAAAAGTTATACACCTCATTCTCTGGACTTCCATTTCCCTATAGGTGGCCATTTAATTCAGCTGTAAAGAGTACATGAATTCCATACAGCACTGCTTGGATCCTGTAATTATAGCTACACTAGAAACATCATGGCCAGAGACACAGAGAAGACTGTACCGCATAAAGGCAAAGCAGCAAATGCGTTACTGTTAGCAAAGAAAGCTGACAGAGGGCCAGATGTTCTCTCGACTTGCACATCCAGCAGACAGGACTGTCTGTCAAATACCAAGTATTTTCAATCTAGTCCATTCTTGATTCATCATTAAGCTTTATGTGTGTCGTATTGTATGAGAGGAAAATGAGGAAAGCCAAGCATAACTGATGGACATTGTGTCCCAGGACCTGGGATAAAAGAGTCGAGGTACAGGACAATGCTGAGCTTCAAATAAAGACAATATCAACTGTAGTCAAGTATTTTTATATCCAAACCTGTGCTGATCTCTTGCCCCCAAAGCTGCAAAAGGATGCACTTACTAAGCAGCCAGGCCCTCCTTCAAGCAGATTCACAAAACACGTGCCAAGTAATTTACAAGCTGCCATCAAACTGTCAGTCAGGAGGGGCATACAATGGAAACTGTTGCTCAAAATGCCATGGAAAGGGGAAACATATGTTTCAGTGAGAAAAGACAATCAAACAAAGAAGTGGGCGGTTGGGGAGTTGCAGCCGCAACAGCAGCAAGGATCCAAGCCTTGCGCACAGCCCCGGGAAACAAGTTCAGGGGCCGTGCTCTCGTCTAGCAGTTGGGTAACAGCTTTGTGTTTAATAAGCTGAAATAATTTTCCGAGTATTGAAGCTAGCTCTAAACATGCTCTGAAGTGAAGCTACAAAACTGAAGATACCAAGCAAAAAGCCCACTCCACGTTCAATTATTAGCAAAGGCTTGTATCGTGTTATCCTATTGCTGTAGCTGCTGCATAATAGAACTGCCCAGAGAGACACTCTAATCAGTAACTCGAATGTGACCTCAAGGCTTAAAAGCTGCCTTTGTGTGAGTTTCAGTATCTAGGCTGTGTAGGTGGAAAGGCATTAATAACTCCTCTAGTAAGTAGTTATTTGAAAAAAGAAGGGGCTGATGGACATCGGAAATATATTGGACGGAGCGTACTTGAGGCTCCGTTGTTTGCCAGGATGTCAGTCTCTATGCAAAAGGACAGGTATGTGCACGGGTAAACCCAAATGCCCCGTTTGTGTAAGCACCTGGGGCTGCTGCAAGCCTCCAGTCAACGCTGCAATAACAATTGCGCCATGAATTTGCGCAGGGATTTCACAGACAGTTTTCACAGCTGCAGTCGGCTGCAGTTGTCAGGCTCTCGGCATTTCTGTTTCTCTGCTTCAGGAACACCTTCCAGGTCTGTCATGGCACCTGTTACAGGTCTTTTACTAGGATGGACCACCAAGAGTTGCATAAAATTGGAGCAGACATGGGAAGAAATACCCCATTCATTCTCCGGTGCCTGAGACTGGGGGCGTTTTCAGGGTGCTGGTCCCAAATCACTGGTGTGTGATACCTTGGCATTAGGTAGAGTCCCACCGCAGGGTCAGGATGGATGAGGATATACAAGAGATGATGATTTTTGAAAGAGCATTTGCAGGAGCTTATATAAGAGATCATGTGCCCCAAAGACTCTTGTATGAGGTTATTATAGCGAAATTGACTTGAAGAGTAAGAAGCTGGATTTGATGACACAAGATGCCCTTTCTAATCCTTTGTTCCTATGACTAGCGGTCAACAGAGCTGGGGACTGTGCTGTCTTACCCAGGGACATCAGAGAGGTGGCTTCACTTCATGTTTGTTTTTTGTAAAATGATCCTGACCTCCTTTGGAGGGTGCTTCGTGAGTTAGGAATGAAAAGCACAATGTGAAAGGCAGGCACTAGTATTATTTGGAAGTGAACTTTATTGAAAAAGTAGATAATAAATCAAACACATGCTCCTCTTTCTTGCTCTGATACATAATTTTAAAATAGTTGTGTGCACGGATTTTCTCCGTTCTCTATCACGCAGGCTGTAATAGGAGCAGAAATGTGCTGTGTGTGGATTTAACACTGAACATTTTCTTTTGCCTATCGCTGTCAGTGCTTCCTGTTGGAACACATTAATGAGCCCCTAACTTGTTAGCAATAAGCAGCCTTACATTTTGTCTTACTAACAAAGATCAAAGATGATATTATATGTAACTATCTGCTATGTTTGATATTTCTCAGGTAACAAAGTGTTTGAAAAACATCCCGTGACATAAGAAACTCCCCAGAAAGACTGACTTCATTCTCCAGTTCTCAATGGCCCTGGAGCTGCAGCTGAACAATTTTATTATATTCTGCAAATATGGGATTCTTCCATGAAAAATTTTATTGGACCTTTGGATATCATCAAGGTTGAATTTCAGCTAAGACAACTAACATCACTGATTCAAAATATTGCTCTGAGTAGTAGCTCATATTTTTCTGAATTGTGTACTTGGGAATGAATCTTTTTAAATTGTCCCTTGGCCTAAATTGAAATAAAGTGCTAGCAAAATCAGGTAGCTACTGTGTTTAGGTACATTACAAAGTGCTCCATGTTGTGCTTTTTGAGATTCGGTTATTGTATGTGGGCTATTACATCATAGAAAAATTAGATCTTTTAGCAGCATGACAATTCCTAAAACCCTAGGCTTTGTTGCAGACTAGCCAAGATAAACTTGGAGAGCTACCGTTTTGTCAGGTAAGGTTGTACAACGAGAAATATAACGCTTCCTAAGATCCTTCCTTTCTCTGTACCTTTTAATGTGTTGTCACAATGCTTCTGGAGCTTAAGGTGATACAAAACACAATGAACACGTAAAGCTGCTAATGGGATAGTAATCGCATTAGGGTTAGACTGGCACGAATGTCCTGCTTGCGGCAACAAACACCACGAGTGGGAGCCACCCGTGCGGAATGCTCCCTCGGCAAGAAATGCCGTGTTCAGAGCCCCACGCAGGAAGAAACCTGCCATGGGTTAGTTGTTGATTGCTAACGTGTAACGAAGAAGTCAAACAACAGATGGAAGAGAGAAGCAATGAGTCTGCAAGGTACGTATGAAAAGAGCACCTGTAATCTTGCTCTTGAATTGCGGGGAAGCAACAACCGAAGCTTTCTGTGTCCCCTGAACTCAGGATAGAAAATAAAATGTGCCAAGTCTTTCAATAAGAGCCATGCTGAGGGGAGCCGTAGGGTGCAGAGTCTCCCTGAAGGCTTGAGGAGGTCAGGGTCAGGTCCAAACCAGAGCCTGGCAGTGCTTTGTGTGCCTGGCAGCACAGTGGGGTCACTGTCCTGAACAAAAATGCTCCCAAATAGTCTGTCCTAAAGGGTTGCAACCTGACCTGAGAAGCATGAAAATGCACAATGGACGAACTCGTATACTTTTCCCTAAGTCTCTCTCTGCTATATGCTGTAGAGGAATTCAGTCCATTGGTTTGAAGTCTTTGTGCTGGCCAAATATAAATAGAAACACTAGAGCAAAATCACTGCTGTTTGATTCCAGGTTTTCCTGTGGTGCTGTTAAAATATTGCTGCTGAAAAGCCAGTTTGATTCAAAGATTTACCATGACCCAGTGCAACCACCAACATCTTCCATTAGCCCTTTTAAAAACTGTAGAGATTTTAACACTGTTTCTTTTTCCATGCAGAGTAAATGAAAAGTACATTTTGATGGTGTCTGCACTTTTTAGGCCCTGAAGAAGGGCTAAATAAACACAAAATGAAGGTCAGGGGGCAAGAAGTGACAGAGAAGAAAAGGTGAGTAGTCAGGGTGGTCAAAGATGCTGGCAAATGGCCCAACACAAAGGGTTGTTCTTTTGCGCTTTAATATTTAAAGTAGCTGTGATTTCACATAGAAAGAAGACAATGGTTGTGCTGCCAGGTAAGTGCTAAAAGGAAAACCTGAGCATCAGTTACATTTGCAAGGTATTTCCAAACCTGATGCTCAATGGCTTCCTATTAAGTACGGAGTATACTGTATTAATTCTGTAGCCTGGGATGAGCGGGCGCTGCACCAGCCATTTTGCATGGGGGCTGCTGAGCAGATGAGTGCTGAGCTGTATGGAAGATTTCATTTCTGTAAATGAGGAGGCCGTTATCACAGCACTAAAGGTCCTGTTTTCTAAAAAAAAAGGCTCCTGTGGCATTATGCACAAAACAACCTATTTATGCAGCATGAAAATATTTATGTGCTTCGCTCCAGCTTAAAAAGGGAATTTGCAATAGATGAGGGACATGAGAAAGGATTGGAGTGAGAGATAAGGAGAGATTAGAAAAGGCAGATCATGAAGTACATGACATCCTGCAGCAGTGTGTGGAGTAACCCCCCCCTTCCTTAAGGCCTGAGCCTTGAGGATGGTGTCTGGATCATTCATACGCTTCCTATACACTCAATTTTCTGCAGGCAGGGCACTGCATACAAAGATGCAGTTGCTGGAAATGCAAGGATCTGCTGTGCTGAAGGCATTGATGGTCTTCGTAACCAACTTCATCCTTTCCAACCTCAATTGTTTGCCCTCGCTGGGGTCACGCCCAGGGCTTGGCCTTTGGGCTGGGGGGTGCTGCAGAGTGCTGAGCTCCGCTACTGAAAGCGGAAAACATGAGAAAAACCACCTGTGCAGGGGCTGAGATGGACATGGTGCAAGTGGAGTGGTCCCAACAGGGTGGCTTCATAACAGGACAGAGCGAACTGTGCTCGCTGTTACACGCCTTGGACCCTCCTTCCCTGCCCTGATACACAAGCAAGTTTCCCAGGTTTTTTTGATTACCAAAAGTTTGTTTTGCTGAAGTGAGCAGTTCCTCCAAGGGGCTGCAGTGGGCTGTGCCTGTGTGCCTCTATTTTCATTAGCGAAACAGCTGTGTTTCAGCCACAGTGCTCTTCATTGACTTTTGTAGGACCAGCCTGGGAGTAGGATGTGAGTCCACGTGCCCTCTTTGCCCTGCCTGCCTTGAAAGAGAAACTGCAGAAGAGCAGCCTCGAGCATGGGTAATCCTGTGGGCAGGAGAACGGCCGGGTTATTGGGAGCACGCAGCTAACAGGGACACCGTCAGCCCATGTGCTGGGCCCCTGCCATGCCAGGCAGCCCAGGTGTACAGTCCTGTTTGAAAGCCACCTGGCAGCCATCTGCTCACGCATGTACATTTTTGGAGCTGGGCAAAAACATTAGGAATGGGCTCTGAAGGCTTTGGTATAGCAGCAGCCTGGGCCTGTGTTGTGCAAGGTCACGGGCACCTAGCTTCTGCACATCCCTGCTTGCTTTTCCAGTGTGTGAATGCTCATCTGGACTGCAATTATATTTCTTTGTGCAGAAAAGCAACTTAGTGGCTAATCCGTCCTGTGGCAAATCTGCTTGCACTAAGGCAGGCAGGTATTATTCTACAATGCTTTCAACGAAGGCTGTGAGTACAGCACGAGGATATTTTTTTAGTTACCTTTCAGCGATTCAGCATCATTCTTGCTCCAGATGCAGGAGTGTCCTTCCCAGCAGCAGCCCCTGGTCCTCCACGGGAGAGCCGGCGCCACCCCAGGTAGCTCAAAGGCACCTGTGTGTTGACAGACTGATGGGCTGCAGACGTGCCACATCAGCGCCTTGAAGTCCTTGTGCAGTATTTCAGAAATTGGCTCCATGCTGCTTGTAACCTCCCCCAGCACACATGCACCCCACTCCCCCAGGTATCAGGCTCTCATTTGATCCTGTGCTCAAATAACACAGTGTTTTGCTTTTAATTAACATCGCAGAGAGGGGAAAATGACCATTTGGTCTCTTTGGGAGCCTGACTTGGCTGCAGACTCAGGACGACATCTAAGACGAAGGCTTCTGGCCGGGATGAGGCGAGTCAAGGTCAGCTCCTGGCTTGTGACAGCACCCTGAAAGGTGGCTGGGGACTGAGCCCTGCCTTGAAGTAAAAATACCTGAATGCATGTAGGAGCTGGGTATGATCTCACACCCTAGCAGTAAAGCAATAAAAATCATAATGCCCCAGTACCCACAGAGCTAATGAAAAACTTTCAAGCCCAAATACACACATAGTGACAGTCATGAAAGTACCTAAATCATTTCTATCTGAGCTCTCTGTGTCCTTCTATCCACTCCCCATCTCTCGCTGTCACTGTGGTCGATGGCTGCTGAAAAGCCTTGTCCGATTCCTGCATCCGATGCCTAACGTACGAGCCAGCAGCGCTGCGAAGAAGAAAACGCTGCTGCTCATGTAAGCTGTCCTGTGTGTTGGCAGGGCTGTGGGTTTCAGAACAGAGTGATGTATTTCAGATCTTGTGAAATTTCTGAATAATCAGCTCATCAAAAAATATCATGCAGAGTTCCCTTGTAGTCCTCTCCAACTTGCCACCTCTCCTGCCAATAGCTCTGTAGGGTGACCACAGCTTGGCATAGCCCATTAGCAGAGCTCCGCACAATCACTCATGAATAGAACTGTCTGGAAAATGCAATTTTTCTTCTTGGGAAAAAAAAAAAAACCACAAACCTTGGGGCAGGGGGGGATGTTTGGCTTGGCATTTCAGGATGAGGGTTTTCACCACTGCTCCCTCCAGCACCCTCTTCTGATCCTGCCTGTGCCTCACTTTTTCCTCCCTACCACATTGTTTAGAAAGTGACTCCAGGAAAATAAAAAGAAAATAAAAATAAAAATCCCACTTAAAGTGGCAAAGCCATTGGATGCTGTTTGGTCTGCTGGCGAGCTCCTCCCGCTCCCCAGGGCTAGGAGTCTCGCTGCAGGACGGGCACCAACCCCTGGCACCTTCTCCAGCTGGGACTCCTGGGTGAGATGTCCTTGGACCTGCACTTTTTGCTGCCACTGCCCCGCTTCTTCCTCAGAGTTTCTGCAAGATATCCCCCTCCTTGTGCAGCTCAAAAGGCTGCTGTTTAGGTACCTGGGAGCTGGTGACCGTGACTCTGTTCACGGGGAGAAGGAAGGTGCTGGAAAGGCCTTGGGGTAAACCAGACCAGCAGTGCTGCAGAGACGAGGGGCCGAGCAGCAAGTCGCTGGCCTGCCTTCAGCTGCTCTTCTCAGTCCTGGGTTGCCTCCAGGCACATCCCCTGTGCCTTCTCCCTCCTTTTGACGCGTGTTCCTCAGTCACAGGTGATCATTGCTCTGGCTGGAAAGAGT